TATATATATATATATATAGCATGAGTACATATGTATGAATAGGTTTATATAAAAATTGAACTGCAAGGAGATATTATATATGTTCTAAACTACATCATAAACTGTGGTGCATTGAAATTATATAGCAAGCTTATGAAACATTTGGTTACTATTTATGAGTATATTATTCCTCTCCCTTGCTAGCTTCCTGCTCTCCGCAATGGTTTCTATTGCCTGGAGGAGGCATTTGCAAGTGGTGTCACTCATAGCTATACTCGTGCTGTTCTGGCCTATGTTTTTGCCTTAGCTGGGAAAGAACGGCAGGTGAAATCCTTGCTCCAGATCCTGGATCAATCTGCTATAAAAATAAGTAAGTCTTACCTCTCATCATGGGAGAAGCTCTAGAAAACAGTGGCAGAGATTTACTAAGCAATTCTATCAGAGCCCTCTCTGTATCTGTGTATTTGTTTCTCTTATGAAATTTGTCAGTACCCACGTCTTCAAAGAACATTAGATATTTAATTTCCCTTTTTCTTTTTTTCCACTAATTTCCTCTCAAATGAGTGGAGTAAAGGAAACGAAGCATCGTGACCACATCACAGACAAATGATTACTTCTAAAACTAATTATGACCCTAAGGAGTTGCTATTTCAGGCTATATTTTTTTGCCAAGCCTGTCATAACAAAATGCTGCAGACTGGTTGACTTAAACATCAAAATGTATTTTCTCGAAGTTCTGGAGGGTCAAAGCCAAAGATACAGATATCATTATGTTTTATGTTTTTTTCTTCTTGAAGTAGATGCCTCTGTCTTCACATAGTATTTCCCCCATGTGTGGAAATTCTTGGTGTCTCTTTTATGTGTCCAAATTTCCCCTTCTTATAAGGACCACTAGATGGGATTACATGCCACCTTAGCAAACTCATTTTAACTTTATCACCACTTTAAAGATCCTGTCTCCAAATATTGAGAGGCTGGGGGGTCACGGCTTCTGTATGTGAATTTAACTTGGGCTATTACAGAATGCCAAGAATAGAATTTTACTCTCTGAATGTGTAACTATACAGGTGCTTATTTTACTGACTGTGAAAATTCTTTTTATAGAGACTATGAATCTTCCCCCTCTTTTCACAGATAATGTGATCTATTGGGAAAGAGAAACAAAATCCAAGACAGAAGAACACCCATCCTTCATTCCTTCAGCACTTTCTGGAGAGACTGAGAAGACTTGCTATGTGCTGTTGGCTGTCATTTCCCAGGTCATTCTGAACCTCGACTATGCCAGTAAGATTGTGCAGGGGCTTGCCCAGCGGATGAACTCCCACGGAGGCTTCTCTGCCACCCAGGTGACTGACAGGTGATTCAAGGAGAGTGCTTAAGGCAGGAGATGCCATTCTGGATGACAGCCAAAACTGTCATGAAAACATATCTTCTGAAATGAACATTTGATTTTATGAATGCCAAAATAATTATTTTTATTTTATGTGTATGAGTGTATTGACTGCATGTGTTTAAGCATACCATTTGTCATGCAGTGGCTGTGGAGGTCAGAAAGAGGGCATCAGATCCCCTGGAACTAGCATTATAGAAGGTTGTTAGCCACCATGGGGGTTCTGGGAACTGAACCTGGGTCCCCTGGAAGAGCAGAGAATGCTCTTAACTGCTGAGCCATCTCTCCAACTCTTCACATTTTTTTTGCATACATATTGGCCTTGCATCCTACAATCGTGCTGAATTTATTCATTAGTTCCAATACCTTTTTAGCGTTCCTTGAGGACTTTTACATACAAGAGCCTACTGTCTACTAATAGACATATTTTGTTCCTTCCCTCCCAATCCAAATGTCTTTTCTTGCCTAATTACCTTGGTGAGAACCTTCAGTACTGCACTGAACAGGAGTGGTTAAGAGAAAACATCCTTGTTTTATCTCAGGAGGAAATGCTTCAGTCGTTCCTCCACCTTCAATTATTTTGCCAACTGTGTGCTTTTCGTTTCATCAGAAAGACCTATTTCATATGTTCCCATTTGTATGTGAAATCTGAAAACACTGATCTCATAGAAGTTGGGAGTCGAATGGTAGCTCCAGAGGCTGTGCAAAATAGCAGGGGTTGGGAGAGGCAGCAGGGGAGGAAGATTGATCAGTGGGTGTTGGTTATAGCTAGTTAGGAACAAGGAATTCTGTTGTGCTTTTGAACAGTAGGCTGGCTATAAATAGTGATTAGTATCAAAAACTGGAAGACAAGATTTTGCAAGTTATCACCATAAAAAAATGATAAATGTTTGAGGAGATATATTCAGCTGCCTTTTAAACACTTTACATAAAAATATACCTATGTACTACATGGTACCCCATTAATATGTGCAGCTTATATGTTTGGGAGGGAGGTTTTTTGTTGGTTTTGTTTTTTTTTTGTTTTGTTTTTGTCTTCTTGAGACAGGGTCTCCCTGTAGCCCCAGCTGTCCTGGAACTTACTATGTAGACCAGGCTGGCCTTGAACTCACAAAGATCCTCCTGCCTCTGCCTCCCAAGTGCTGGGATTAAAGGCATGCGCCACCACACCTGGCCCTGAATGTCTTTTTTAATATGAGAGGGTAATACTTTTTATTTGCCTTTACACTATTTTTAATAGTGAAATTATTGCTTATACAATCTTTTAGGAAAGTAAAAACCCAATTAAGCTTTGTTAAGGAAAACAATCTTGCAGCAACTTTAACATTTTTTTCTATTATTCGGGATATAGCTTTGTGTTCTCCTGCCCGTGTTAGGAATATTTCTAGGAATTGACTCAAAGTTCATGGTCACATGACTAACCTTGCACCACTGTTCTGTGCAGGACACCACAGTCTGCCTTCTCGCCCTGACGCGCTACATGAAATTAACTGGCTCTAATGTTCAAAGCACAGTCACCTTGAGAACTGAGGAATTCCAGGAGATTTTCTCAGTTAAAAGTGATAATCGCCTTTTGGTACAGCGTTCAAAATTATCTGAAGGACGTGGGCAGTACGCTGTGGAAGTGGAAGGACAAGGCTGCACGTTTATCCAGGTAATAGAAGCCTGCCCAAGAGGGAGGGCAAAGCTTATCTATAAAAATTCAGACCACTGGCGGGGCGTGGTGGTGCACGCCTTTAATCCCAGCACTCAGGAGGCAGAGGCAGGCAGATCTCTGTGAGTTCAAGGCCAGCCTGGTCTACATAGTGAGTGCCAGGACAGCTGGGGCTGCTGGGAGACCCTGTCCCAAAAAGACCAAAAAAAAAAAAAAAATCAGATCACTGTTGACTCCTCTCATGATTTATCAACTCTTTCTCTCACTATGGTTTTCTAATCAATATCAGAAACACAAGCTACTTTGTAGAGAAGGCATTCATATTTTTAATAGTTTTTAGGTTAGCATTCAAAGAGATAGGTTTCATTATGACTTTTTCTGGTTTTTGTTTTGGTTTGTTTGTTTGTTTGTTTGTTTGTTTGAGTCAGGGTCTCTCTGTAGCCCCAGGTGATCTGGATATTGCTATGTAGACCAGGCTAACCTTGATTTCATAGAGATCCACCTGACTGCCTCCTGAGTGCTGGGATTAAAGGAGTGCACCACCGTGCCCAGCTCATTATGACTTTTTTCTTTTCTTTTCATTATGCCATTTTTATACATTCTTTGTTCTCTCTCTCCCATGGCCCCACCCTCCACCTTTTGTTGGTCCCCTTCCTCCTCTTCAATAGAGCCCTTTGGTTTTCTTGTGATGTGCATTCTTTGCACTTCCTCCTCCCAATAAGTTCTCTTTTTTCTCTCTCATGGTCTTTTTGCTAGTTTCATGCCCTACACACACATACACATACACACAAATATGCATATATACAAATTAAACATTTTTATTAATTAAATTTGTTCTTAGACAATTTCTCACAAGTATAGCTGGCCAAAAGAAATTGATTTAGGAATGTTGCTATTAGAAAGTATTCTATCTTCATTACAGTATATTGTCATATTGTGTCTCATGAAAACTAACTTTAGTTTATCCTGATTCCCTGATGATAAGGATGTAAAGTGCGTTAATCATGGAGTTAGAGAGATAATGGGTCCTTCAGTTCTTACTACAGGATGATTTTCTTCACTATGAATCTCAAGGTGGTGTCCTTTTTAGGCTATCCTTAGGTACAATGTGCCACTACCTAAGAAAGTATCTGGATTTTCCCTTTCTGTGGAAATGGTAAAGAGCAACTCTTCAGACATATTCCAGACTAAGTTTAACCTCACGGTGACTCTCACGTAAGCATTATATTTTGATATCTGCTCCCCAATGCAATTCATACTCTGTTAGGCATAACTTGCAAGCTTTTATCTTGCTGGTATTTCAGTAATGCTTTCATTTTCTTGTACAAAAACATAGAAACATTGTCTACAAGTTCTGACTTTGAGATGTCAGGCAGGCCTGAGAACAGAGTTGGGGAGGTTTTATGTTCAAATACTGTTACTTGCTCCAGCAAATGTTGCCTTGCAGTCCCATCATCTCGCCCATTGTCACTCAGTTGTCACTGTTCTTGGACATTTGAGGGTGAGTTTCTTCAGATCCTCCCTTTTCAAAATCTTTTGCAACTGCCTTAGATTTCCATCCAACTAGTATATCTGTCCACCTGCCATCCTTGTTTTTAAACCCATGTCTAAATTATGGTTGCTTTTTAATTTCAGATATGCTGGAACTCATAATAGCTCCAATATGGTCCTCGTGGATGTAAAAATGCTCTCAGGGTTTATTCCAGTCCTGTCGTCCATTGAGGAGGTAAGAGACAAAAGGGGCTCTCAGCACAGAGAAAATGTCAGTTCATCAAATGAAACCAAAAACAAACTAAATTATGGGACTCTTCACTTAAATATACTCCTTCAGATTTCACAGTTGTATTTTGTCTGTACTGTACCAGAAGGAATGTACAGTGTCCGATTTCACAGTTGTATTTTGTCTGTACTGCACCGGAAGGAATGTACAGTGTCCGATTTCATAGTTGTATTTTGTCTGTACTGCACTGGAAGGAATGTACAGTGTTTTATTTTGTAGTAATTCACAGTCATTATCCCCTAGCTGCTAATATATTTCTTTACTTGGTTCCCACGTGTGTTTATGGAAATAATGTGGCACGAAGGAACATCTCACCAAATAGAACTTGCCAAGGTCAGAAACTCAAACACTCATTTCTAGAAGGGACCCTGGGAGTTCTAATATCTGTTCCTCATTCCTCTCGGTCAATGTCTTCAAAGCTTAAAAACAATGGCCCCGTAATGAAGACCAACATGAAGAATGACCATGTTCTTCTCTACTTGGAAAATGTAAGTTCAGCAACAAGATTTTTTTCTTTCATGATTTTGCTTGTTTTCTGAGGGGTATTTGGAAACTTCTGTTTATTACAGATGTGCATGAAAGGGTTTATCTTCTAATGAGACATTGGAAATGACCAGTGTTCTGTGCCTCTGATCATAATCTCTGTACTATCAAGTTATTTTATGTAAGTCTTGATTATCTGACCAGATTGTGCTCAAGCTTAAGAACAGCATCTTCTGGTTTTTCATTTCTTACAGGATATATAACATGTGATTGCTGCAAAGTAGACACATAATTCTTTTAGAGCTTGAACTCCAATGAAAGATGCCTTGGTTTTTTTTTTTAATTGTTGACATTTTATGTAACTAAGGAATATAGTGTTGTCCTAGTTTGTTTCTCCTTTACTGTGACAAAACACTCTAACCAATACCAACTTGGGGAGGAAAGGGTTTATTCAGCTTACATCTCCCAGGTCTCAGTTCATTAGGGAGCCCAGGGTAGGAACTCAGGGCAGGAACCTGGAGGCAGGAACTGGAGCACGGGCCATGGGGGAACACTTGCTTACTGGTTTGTCCCCTGGCCCCTGCTCAGCCTTCTTTCTTATGCAACACAGGCCCACCTGCCCAGGGGTGGCACCACCCACAGTGGGCTGGGCCCTCCCACATCACTCATCCAGAAAATGCCCCTCAGACATGGCCACAGGCCAGTCCAATAGAGGCAATTCCCCAATTGAGGCTCCCTCAACCCAGGTATGTCAAGTTGACACTAAAGTTATCCAGCACAAGTGTGATGTTTTATTGTTTCGTTGTTGTTGTTGTTTGAGACAGGGTCTTCCTGTAGCCCAAGCTGGCCTGGAACTCGATATGTAGACCAGGCTGGGCTCTATCTCACAGAGCTCTGCCTGCCCCTGCCTCCCAAGTGCTGGAACTAAAGGCATCGTGATGTTTCATATACATATACATTGTTGGTTGATTATTATAATTAGCTAATTAGCATTCTTCCCTTCATATAATTACCTTTTATGTGATTAAAATGTTTAAAATCTACTCTCTTAGCAAATTTCAAGGATATAACGGTAACTGAAGATCTCATACTATACATCATTTCTTCAGAAAGTGTTCATTCTGCTTAACTTCGTACACTGACCGATATGCCATTTTCCTCCCTGATCTCGCCTATTCACTCTGTGTCTATAAACTTAACTGTCATGTCCCACTTCTAAGTAGTAGTATGTATTTTTATTTTGTGTAGTTTATTTTTAACATAATTTACTCCATCATCAAAGCTCTCACGGATTGAATTATTTCCTTCTTCTAAAAGATTAAATCATTTCCTATCATGCACACACCACAGTTTATTCATTTATCTGTGGCTAAACAGACACAGGTTATTTCCATACCTTGGAATGATTGAAACAAACATGGCAGCACCTTTTTAAGGAAATAATCTGACTTGCCTTTGATTCATACTCAGAAGCAGGTTTTCAGGATCATGTAATAGTTCAATTTTTACTTTTTTGAAGAAATTCTAAACTGTAGTACGATTATTAAAAAGTCACCCTTCCAATATATACATTATCCCTACTTGCACAAATGTCTACGACCTTCTTAGTATTTTCAACTAAATTCTTTGCACCTCAATATAAGCAGCTGAACTTAAATTTTTTACCTGATTTAATGTTAGCTCACTCATTTTTTTTTGCTATTAGGTAAGATAATGATGACATGGACTTTTTAATTGGTAGTTTATGAACTTCTGGAGATAATTTGCTCTGCAGTTTTTTTTTCAGACCTGCCATAATATATTTATAATTTGTGTTTTTATAGGTGTCTAACACAGCAATCAGTTTCACCTTTTCTGTTGAGCAGAGCAACCCTGTGTCCAACGTTCAGCCAGCCCCAGTCATGGTCTACAGTTTTGAACACGGTAAGCTGGCCACAGCAATGCCCTAGGCTGTTGAACATGTCTGTACCTGATATTCTCTGATGGCTTTATTTAATGACGATTTATTTTCACCCAATCATGTGATTATGACTGTGCCAGTTCCTAGGGTATTCTGACACTTGGAATCTTTTTTGATATAATATGAAAGTGCTCCCTCTTATCTTGAAGAACAGACCATGCTAAGCTTCCAAGTCTTTTAAACAACAAGTCATCATTGTTACTAATTTGAAATTTTACTATTTTATGCTGCTTCTATGGGTTTGGACTTAAAAATGGAAGGGAAAAATATTCTGAAATTTTATAGCAAATTTAATACAATATGTTCGAAAACATTTATTAATATATTGCAAAGACCATGAATTTTTTTGGAGAAGGTTAGAACTGTTTATCTCTTGTTGAATACCATAAAAGTCTGCCAAGAAATAGTTGAATTCTGTCTCTGTTTTTTATTTATTGAATGCATTCAATCAGATAACTTAAAATTTAGAATATTATGAATTGAGTTAATTTATGGATTGACGAAATGGATGAATGATTGTTTCTCTTGAAAATGCATTGGAAAGATTAGATCTAATGTCTTTATATGGCCTGACACAGTCTAGTTGGATATTTAATAAGGATGAACTATTCCTTTTACTTTCCAGATGAATATGCCCTTGATTCTTACAACATCAATAGCTTTTCAGTTTCCCAGTAAGACAAAATAAAACAAAGGGAATGGTAAGTAAATTATCTCATGAGACTCATAGCGATATATATGCTTCTTAAAAATCTCCCATTTTAGTTTTTAACCTGACAGATCATTACATGTTTTATATATCTATATGGAAAGATACACATACATTTATTTCTTCTTTAAACTGTTTTTTAAACTATGTTTTAAAACTCAGGCAGAAACTATTTCTTTAAATAAACTCCTCTTCTGATCTCCATCCTGGGTGAGAGCCACAACAACCTCACATTCTGAAGAGTCTGAAATCAACTACTACGTCTTCTTGTCAGATTTTATTTCTTCCTATTAAATGTCATCATTTCAAATCTGAGTCCATTTTATTTTCTTCCTAGTTTTCATTATGGAGATCTTATGGCTTTCTTTGATTGCAAATGAATAATTTGCTTTATTTTTCACAATTGTAATAAATTCAAGGTTTGGACCTTATAACATAGAGTATCCCTCCAAAGAGGGACAGGAAGAGGTAGAAAAAAGTAGAAAAAAAGAGGTAGAAAGAGGTAGAGGGGGAAAAAGAGTAAATAAAAACTGAAAAGGATTCTACATAAGCTCAAAGAAACAAATATAAACATGACAACATATAGACTCTTCTGGGTGATGGGCTAAAGCAGGGCAGGGGAAGAGGTAGAAAGCAGCCCTAAATTACGTGATGGGTTTATTGAGCACTAATTTTATCTTTTAAAAAAATAGCTGGAGAGATGGCTCAGTAGTTAAGTGCACTGACTGTTCTTGCAGAGGACCTGGGTTCAATTCCCAGCACCCACATGGTGGCTACGAACCATCCTTAACTCCAGCTCCAGCAGAATCTGAAGTCCTCTTCTGACCTCTGTGGCATTGCACACATGGCTGCATTCACATACATGCAGGCAATACGCTTGTACACATAGAATAAAAATACTAAAGTATTTTTTAATTATTTTATTATTTTGAGCTTATCACTTATTACTAGAAAGTAATATCAATATCTACTTTTTGCCTAACTTAACATTAATGTTGTAATGAATTCCTATTGAGGACAGAAAGGTGGGAAGAAACGGGAGAGAACAATAGAAAATTTCCATTTTGACTTTAATGCAGGCTTCTGGATTGCTATGATTCTCTAGAGACAAGAAAAGATCATAACATTCTCCAGCTGCAGAGTTAAAGAATTTGGAAACAAGATCAGGATATGAATTTTGAAAACATAAAGCATTTAGATAGATATGTTTCCTCATGTTATCCCTCTGCTCAGTGGATCATGCTTGTTCCTAAGTGACATTTAACCAACATGCCTCTTGGTTGGCATCACCGATGAGCAGAAGGGTCCTAGATGTGGCAAATAAATTTATTGCACTTTGTTAAGAATCCTGTATACAGCAAGATGTGATAGCACATGTGTTTAATCCCAGCACTTGGGAGGCAGAGGCAGGCAGATCTCTGTAAGAGGGAAGCCAGCCTGGTCTACATAGTGAGTTCCAGGCCAGCTGGGGCTATAGGGAGACCCTATCTCAGAAAAAACAACAAACAACAAAAAAGAATCCCTATACCTCTTCAGTTCTATTGTATCTAATATGATAAAGCCAACCTTGTAAGTAAGACATTACTGAAGATTCAGATTCCACTTAAGGAAAATGTGACTCCTCTGGCTTAATTTTTATAATAAAATTTCAAGGAAAATGAAGGCATTTTGCTTTTCTATCATGCTGATGTATTTGTGGGAAACCTCTTCTTTTGCCTAAATAGATAATCAATCTCAGTTTATGTATTCAGTAGTTAGATTGAGCACATAATAAAATGGTTTCTCAAATCATAATCATTGAGGGGCAAGGTGATGGCAGTAGACAGTTGGACAACTGTCAATCTACCTCCTGAAGGACTGATGGGGATTCTCTGCTTTTGTGCAACATGTCATGCTGCCCTAGTACAGAGCTCTAGCCTCAAGTGCCCATGGTTGCTGAACACTCCCTTGGTGTTTAGGGTATAACAATGAATCAAAATATGGAAACAGCTGCCTTTGTGGTCTTATATCCTATTGGAAAAGACAAACCATTAGATAGATAGATGATAGATGATAGATAGAGAGTAAACTTTAATTTGAAAATCAGAGAATGGGTAAGATTTCAGGAAGATATGTATCTATAGATAATAGATAGATAATGATAGATGATAGATAGATAGATGATAGATAGATAGATAATGGATGGATAGATGGATGGATAGATGGTAGATAGATGATAGATAGATAGATAGATGATTGATAGATAGATAGATAGATAGATAGATAGATAGATAGATAGATAGATAGATAGATATACATATAGCTGAAGTAGTAAAATATAGTCAGGGCATATAGACATAACAGATGATCATAATACAAGAAATGAGAAGGTGATCAATGATATGTGTGCTGGACAGCTTTAGTGTCAACTTGACATACCTGGGTTGAGGGAGCCTCAACTGGGGAATTGCCTTCCTTGGACTGGCCTGTGACCACATCCATGGGGCACCTGCTTGGTTGCTGAGTGATGTGGGAGGGCCCAGCACACTGTGGGTGGTGCTACCCCTGGGCAAGTTGGGCCTGTGTTGCATAAAAATGCAGGCTGAGCAGGGGCCAGGAGAGCAAGTCAGTAAGCAGTGATCCTCTATGGCCTGTGCTCCAGCTCCTGCTTCCAAGTTCTTGCCCTGAGTTCCTACCTTGGACTCCCTGATGAACTGTGACCTGGGAGATGTAAGACAAATAAACCCTTTCCTCCCCAAGTTGGTAGTGTTCAGAGTATTTTGTCACAGCAATGAAGAGACAAACTAGGACAATATAGAAACTATACAATGTGGAGAAGGATCAGAGGATCTACGGTGCCCTGGGAGTGGGAACAGGGGAAAGATTGAAAGCTGAAACATAACTTTAGGATAATCTCATTGAGACAATGATACTTAACCCAGAGCTTGAAGTAGGGGAGGGAGTTAACCACATAAATATCTCAAGACAGACTATTCCTGATTGTATTATCAACAAGAAAAAGAAAACAGGCTCATAAGGTGGAAGTATGTTGTATGATCAAACAGAAACGAAGTACAATTAGAGCATAACGTGAAGGGAGCATAGAGGGGATGGTAAGGATGGGGACCAGGCACCAGGCACCAGGCACCAAGCCGGGTGGGGGACTGGGGATCATTACCAGGACTTTAGGTTTCAAGCTTTGCAAAACTGTGGCCCATTGAAGGCTTTTAGATATGAGACCTGACTAGTTGTTTCAACCAGATCGACTGACTACTACTATTAACAGCAAGCTGTATAGAAGTAGTAGAGGTCTGCTACAGAAATTCAGGCCAAAATAATATTGGCTTAGACCAGGGTTAAAACTGGAGAGACAGTTATAAAAAACAGTGATCAGATCCTAGACATGTTTTAAAGATAAAACCAGTAGGATTTCCTGATGGATCAGATATGATACGTGAAAGAGTGATGAGAGATCATACCTCTGCTCTTGGTCTGAGCTATTAGAAAGGTAGACTTGCCATCTTTTGAGTTGGCTATGGTTGGAGTAGACTTGGGATGGAAGACTAAGAATTCATCGTTGAGCTTTTGATGTCGTATACACAAGTGGAGATATCAAGTTATAATTTGGACGAGCGGTATGGGAGTTGGGCGAGAGTTCTAAGTTAGGAATATAAATTTTATGGTTGCTATTAGGCTCTGTCAAGGAAAATAAGGCAGTCCACAGCATCAAGTGCCGCTCACCAGTCAAGAACAATGAGAGCTGCAGACTGATCATTTATTTATATAAGCAGAAAACAGTTATTGATTGGCTTTGATTCCATGAGATATAAAAATGAATTAAATTCATTCTTGTCTTTGGCATAAGTGCACTAAAAGAGTCACACTTTGGGGAGGGACTGTTTCCTTGAACTTTTCAAAGACTGGGTGTTTTTTTTAAAATAAAATGTGGTGCTGGGTCTCTCCTGTACCATTTTTACCAGCACCTCTAAGGCCAAGGTTCTCATGATGAGGTCACAGGGCTGTCTCTCAATATTCTGACTCCATCAGCCTGGATAGAGTATAAAAATTTATATTTCTGGGACTGGAGAGATGGCTCAGCAGTTAAGAGCACTGACTGTTCTTGCAGAGGACCTGGTTCGATTCCCAGCACCCACATGGTGGCTAACAACTGTCCATAACTCCAGTTCCAGGGGATCCAGTGCCTTCTTCTGACCTCCACAAGCATTGCATGACACAGGTGTATTTACATACATGCAGACAATACCCTCATATACATAAAATAAAGATAATGAATAAAATATTTTTTAAATTTATATTTCTAGAAGATTCCCAGGTACTGCCAGGCCCAAGACAACTGAAACCCCCTAATCTTGGGGCCTAGCCAAGTTATAAAAAGCTCCTCAGACATTGCTCTTGTTTAGTTGGCCTTGTTACTCCAGCTGTGGTCAGAAGACCAGCAGCACTGGCACTACCATGAACCCTTTGTAATTGCAGAGCATCAGGTCCTTCCCAAATGCTAAGCTGGAATTCACACATTGACAGGATCCTCAGATGATGCATACACATGTTAAAGTTTGAGGTGCTTGGATCAGTTCTGGATTCTTCTTTGGGGGAACTCTACATGGGCAGGTATAATTGTTCTTACAAACCATTCCTTGGGAATCCTCATTTTCTTTTCATTGGTCCAAATAATAGTATTTCATATTTAAAACATTCTTATTTGGAACATCCCATTAAGCTCAGTGGTCCAAATGTTTGCCATGCAAGAATGAGAACCAGAATGTGGAACCCCCAAACCCATGTGAATGTTCAGTGAGTGTTGGCAGCCCAACCTAGGAAAGCAGAGACAAGGGATCCCCAGAGCAAGCTGACTAAACTGGCCACATCGACTAGCTCTGGATTCGACTGAGAGATCCTGCTTCAATAGATAAGGTGGAAGAACAGGGGTCCTAGTTACTTTTTATTGCTGTGATAAAACACTATGACAAAAACCAACTTGGGGAGGTAAGGGTTTATTTGGCTTACATGTCCTGATCACAGTTCATCCTTGAAGGGCAGGAACTCAGGGCAGGAACCTGGAGGCAGCGATTGAAGCTCAGACCGTGGATGAACACTGCTCACTGACTTGCTCCAGCCTGTGGTCAGCCTGTTTTCTCATCCAACCCAAGACCACCTTCCCAGGGGTGGCACCACCCAGTGGGCTGGGCCCTTCCACATAACTCAACAATCAAGAAAATACCCCCCAGGCATGCCCACAGGCCAGCCTGATAGACGATAGTCCTCAGCTGAGGTTCCCTCTTCTCAAGTGTTTCAAGTTGACGATCAAAGCCAAACAT